GTAGCATAGGATCGCCAACAAGTCCAACATCAACCAACTCATTTTCTCCTAACAGTAACAATAATGTGTTAATAATCAATGGATCTAATTCTGCTGACTATTTGGCACAATTACTTAAAGACAGGAACCGTTTACAAGCATTTCCAAATGTATTTGTTCACATTCAAAGACTGGTTGACAATGGTTTGTAAATGTTTTAAAATAGAAAATTTGCCCCCTTTTTTTGCTTGTTTCAATAGCTTCTTTCATCAATCTATTACACATTAAAAAAAAGTCATGCACAAGCCACAAATCACTTTTACCCCTCTTGAGTTTCTCTAATATGATATAACCTTCATCACTAATCATACAATTTCTCCTTTTAACAATTTTTTTCATTTTATTTCTTTTAAAATTTAGAAATCAAAAGAGTTCGAGATTCTTTATTTCACATGGAAGGTGAAGAAAAGCAACCTTTATTATTACCGGACCCAGAAGGTTCAATTGTACAACAACAAGAAAAAGTTTATGTACCTGTTAAAGAATATCCTGATGTATGTTTATAAACTGCTGCCCTTCTAATTGTCTTCATCTTAATTGTCAGGACAGATTATTAATCTTAATTTTCCCATCTTATCTTTTTTTTCTTACATATACACGGCCATCTTTCCCATCTCAATTGGATATCAAATCACCATCGCCCAAAAATTGAAATTATCATGATGTGATCCTTCAACATTCATTGGTGCCAATCATGTTTCCCTTGTTAATCACTGGTCAACCATCAATTTTCAATTTACTGAATCAATTAAACTGGACAACAAAGTATAATTTTGTTGGAAGAATTCTTGGACCTCGTGGTATGACAGCGAAACAGCTCGAACAAGAAACCGGTTGTAAAGTAATGGTTCGCGGTCGTGGGTCTATGAGGGATAAGAAAAAGGTATTCTATAGTTACGTTTTTATTCAACGAACGTGATTCTATAAAAATTTAGAGCCTCAACTTTCTCTCCCTCTCCTTTGATATTTAATACCTTATCTCATGCACTTGCCAAGCTTAACATGAAACTACTCAGCAAAAAAACATGAGAGGTTTGTTTGTATACAGATGCCGATTTCTTATTTTTGGTAAATCTGTCTACCTTTACCAGAAAAAAAGCGAGAAGCCTAATCTTCCATCTCAGTACAGGACCTTGTATTTTTTACATCTTATAGCTTACACAAACCTGACCTACTATTGTTTTTTAGTTTTCACATATATTCCTTTTCTTTCTTTCTTTCATCTTTTTTTTCAAACAGGTTTTTCTCATTCTTTCTCCTTATTTATCCATCGCTCTTTTGCTCTCTGTTTCCATGAATTATTCATCTCACATCAAATTCAATCTTTTTGATTGTCATTTTTAATAAGGCTCTTTAGTTTCCCATTATTTTGGACCTTCCATTCATACCACCACTGAAATTTCATGTGCAGTTATGAATTGAAGTCCATTGTTTTACCTGCCATTTCATGTATTCCATGTTTGCGTATTTTTTCCCCCAAAAAATCGTTCTTGTCCCAAGTCACTTTTACCTTTATCCTTTTATTCCATATCAGAGATAATATTTGATAACTTATTTTCCTTTTATGGCAAATCTTCCTACTAATACAATGTTTGATCATTTTACTTCCATGTAGTTGCTCAAAAAAATTATATTAGCACAAAACAAATCTGAAATTTCGCTCCCTCTCCATCCATTTGATTCATATTGAAACAGGTAGGCACTGAGCGCGTAGGAAGAGCGTAGGAAGCGTCCCAACGCAATTTCCAAACCTAATGTCCCTTTCGTTCTCTCTGTCTCTCTTTCTCTGCATTTTTGCTTCCTAATTGATGTTGACGTTGATGATTCTTTCTTTCTCTTTTTCCTTACTCAAACCAAAGATGAAAAAATAATCCAAAAGAGAGAGGTTATTTTTGAGTGCAACGTAAGTCACTTATGTATCTTGCCAACTTACATCCTTCTCATTCGTTCTTGTTTTACTTTTTCCTTCATCTTCTCTATTTCTTACTCCCCCTTTTTTTTTCTTGTTTTTCATCCCAAACCCATCTTATCTTGAAACTTTGTGAGTGAGTGAGAGAGTAGAGAAAATCAGAGAAAGACAGACTTTAAGCAAAAAGATGTGATGCTGTTGATGATGTTTTTGGTTGATGATGATGATGAAGCCCTGGTGCGCCCTTTTTTTACTTTACCAGTGACTCCTCCTTATAAGGTATCCAATGAGTGGGCGGAATTAAGGTAACACCCTAATAAGGTCTTTCTTGTCCTTCTCACTTTCTCTCTCTCCCACACTAATCCATCACTTAATCTTTTCCCATCTTCCTCATCCTTTTTCTCCCTTCTTCTGTCGTAATTTTAAATCATTTTACACTCATTGGTTAATCGTAACGTAATTTTTTATCCTCATCTTCGTCATTCTCTCTCCAAATTATTTTGCAGAAAAAAAATCTCAAAATTGGATCAAACCTTCTTAAAAAATAGCTTCAATACGAATCTTTTTTTCTCACACGAAAAGGAAAAGTTGAAATTTCAGATGAAAATTACTCATATTATGAATCGAGAGGAAATGCTAGTTAAATATATTTAACTTGCTTCTATAATTGTCATATTTATATAGATTTATCGGATTATTCATGTTTTCCTATCTATGAGTATGTGTTGATACACTCTGAAGTGACTTTATCAATGAATGAGTTTGAATGGTGATAATGACGATGATGACAGGTATTGATGTCTTCTAGGGGTTACCCATTGTTTTACCTCTCTTTGTCTTGTTTCACTCCACCTTTCTTGCCATCATTTGATATTTTAAACATTAATAGATCAAATAGACTAATCAATCTCATCAAGTACTCTGATTAATTTTAAGTGTGTGCTTATTTCAATGTCTGGCTTGTGTCATATCAAGACATTGCTATACAATCTAATCACTCTTCTTTACACCTTTCCGATTCTATCATTTGTTTACATTTAATACTTGACTCATTATTATTACATTACTTATCATCGTTTACTACTGTTTTGTTTATTTACCCGCAAAAAAGCTAGGTTAAATCATATGGATCCATTCACCTGTGAACCACTATTTTGTTGTTGTCTATTCACTTTCTCAATGCAAAAACCAAAAGTCAAAAAATATAAGGCAACCCAATATCACGCTTGGAGTCACTCTAATCTTTCATTATGTTTAACTGCATAATGAATGAAAAAGCGTTAGGTATTCATAACTGGGTAACGTTGCTTTTTAAATATTGTGTCTGTGAAGTACGTTAAATATGCTGTTATATTTGTCATGTCTTTAGGAAACAAAATTGAACAAGAAGAAAAAAATGAAAACAAAAGATGCCCGTTTTACATAAAAAACCATTATCATTACACAGAAAGATGTCAGTATAAGTTAAAAATAAAAGAAACAGTTAAAGATTGTATGTAAATGAAAAATGATAATTATGATAAACACGAGTGGGAAGATCAGATTGTGTGTGTGTAAAACTCAGGTCGTCTCAATCAAATTGTGAAATTAGTTAACATCGTAATAACACCACACATCTCAATTTTTTTCATTATTTTAATTCAATTGTAGGTTGATTATTGGCATGTTAGCAATTTTCACTTTTAACTAGATAACCAGGGCTTAACTGGGACTTAACCGGTGCATAACCAGAAATTAGAGCTGTTTGTCTGAAACTCAATTTTCTCCCTCTCGAACTTGTAATCAATTCATTTCTGTGATCATTTTTTGCTTCCATTCTTGTGTTTCTCAATCGTATCTTTTACCAAATGTTTAACTCTTTTTTTTTTGTTGATATTCATTATTATTTCTGCTATCAATCTCGTTAACCATTTTTTGCTGTTTTCCCTATTTATTGCTTTGCCTTTTTTCATGTTATTTTCTGTTTATCATTTATTATTAATCTTTATTTTTTAAATGTTATTAATTTTGTTTTATTTTTTATTTTTTGTTTTTATTTTTACCCTTTATTTCTTAATCAATGTAGGAGGAACAAAATCGGGGTAAACCTAATTGGGAGCATTTGAATGACGAGCTTCATGTTTTGATTACTGTAGAGGACACAGCAAATAGAGCTGCAATCAAGATGAAAAGAGCAGTAGAAGAAATTAGAAAATTGTTAATTCCTGTTGTAAGTTGAATTCAAATGAAGGGTTGACAAAAATTCATTCAGCACACAGCATTCTTGGTGAATCAATTTGGCTTGAATCGATTAGTTATTGATTAACCTTTTCCTTAAATGCTTATTCACAAGTTATTTTGATTTTCCATTTTTAACTTTTATCTCAATTTTCAACATTTTTTACAATTTTTTCTTTGCTTTCCTTTTAATATTTCAGACTGACGGAGAAGATGAATTAAAGAAACGTCAATTGATGGAATTGGCCATAATCAATGGAACTTATCGAGATGGAACCGTGAAAAACTGTAAGTTGACTGATAATTGAATTATTATGAGCTGGATCCCAGGAAAGCTCAATCATGACCAACACTCAATGCTCGATTCGTTCATCCATCTTAATCTCTGTCTCTGTCGTTCCACATTCTGTCATTCTGAATAATCTTTACCTTTCTTTCCTCTCTATGCATCATTATTTACATTCCTTCATCTTTCAATTTTTCTTTCCTTTTCCTCTTTCTCTCTACCCATCTTCATCTATTTTGTCGCTCTCTCTCTCACCCTCTCAATAAATGACTTTAAACTGTCAAAGATGATTCCGATGGGAGCATTGGGTGCGCGATTGTTGCTCATGAATGTGTACATAAATGTATATTTATATATACTTTTATAGATATATTTATATGTATATATTTTTGGCTCAATCATCAATCTTAATGATGAACAATCAATTAACTAACGACACTTTTTTCTTGTTTCTCTCTCCCTTTCCATCTTTGTGCCTCACCCTATCGTCGCCCAATGGACCAATTCACGGTTTACTCAAACTCGCATAAATTGGAAACCCAATCACTTATGAATATGGATGATGTTTATATTGGTGATGATGATAATGATGATGGTTACTTTATTTTTGGTGCCGATGATCCTTTCATTATTTTTTCATGTTGATGTTGGTAATGATGATAATCATTTTTTTTCATTCAATGAAATGCATTTCACCATTGCATTTTCTGTCCGTCATGCTATATTTTTATATGCACACACAACTTGATCTCAACTTGTTGTCGTCATTCATCTGATGAATAACTGATTTAAAATTTCAATTGGACGAATGAAAAACAAAACAAAATATTCAATTATCTACTGAAGGTATTGAAAGTGAACACATGAAACTTCTAGCTCCTCCTATTGCTTTGACAACGCCAATTCGTACACACACAGCAACATCTCTCGGTGCTCCACTTATATTTTCCCCTCGCCATATTCATGTGCCAACAAGCACTGCTCTACTTAACGGAAGTAATGCGCCTCCACCACTGATTGCTCCAGCCGATGCTGGATTTTTATATGCACCATATGATTTTCATCAATATGCAGCACTCACTTCACCCTTGTTAGCAGAGTATCCTGTAGCACCTCAAGGAGATAATACTACAACCGGTGGGTTTTTCAGCCGATAGTTGAATCTTCTCTTCCTTTGTCTCTTTTTCAATCTTCTCCTTTATTTTCTTTCCTTTTCTTTATTTCTCTTTTTCTTTCTCTCTCTCTCTCTCTCTTCCTCATGCAGTTGATTTTTTGTTTTTTTCTGTGCAAACTTAATTTTGAGCCAAACGCTGAGCGATTTATATATTATACTATTATTATTATCATGATATTATATATATATTATTTAAAATATATACATATATATGCAACCCTTCTTGAAACATATATATATACATACAAAAAATCTATTATCGCATATATATGTATATATTTATACCCTGTGAAGATTGTGAGATGAAAACTTCATTTTTAATTTAAATCTGAGATGAATCTATTTGGAACCAATTTTTTTGTAACATGCAATTTTTATTATTTATAAAAAGATTTAAAAAAATCAATCCAGCTTTAAATCTCGACCAAAATCAATTGCAACTTGAAACATATTACTTTCATTGTCTAACCATTCGGCTCAAAGTGTTGAGAATTTAGTTTTTACAACAAAACAAAAACAGTTTACCACAAATTTGGTTTAGGGTTTATTCAATCAACTAATTCATTTTAATCACTTTTTTTCTTCCTTTTTTAGCCTTTTTCATCAGAGCTTTCATTGTTTCCAATTTTGCTTCAGCTTAGTCTCAACTTTCCCTGTTGAAGTCGTATTTCCTCCCTCGCTTTTTCATCTCCCGTGCTTTACTCATCACATTTGCACCCTCAATGGTCCTTCAATCATCCCTTTTTTTCTTTTCTCTTCCATCCATTTCTATTGATTCTATTCTTTTAACTTTCAATTAACTCGCTGAAATCAAACTTAATGTTCACTTAAATGGCTAATCTGTTTTCACTGTTTAATCTGTATAAAACTTGGTAAGATTGAGAGAGAGAGAAAGAAAACTAACTTTGCTAAAACCATAATCTCAGCGTAAAAAACTGCTTCTTTTCAATCTTTCACTTAATTATTTTTATTTCTTAAATGTCTTCTTAATCAACTTTTTAAAATTTCAACACAAATTTCATTAATTTTAATTATACTAACCAAACTTACATTCCTTTTCTCTTTCTCTTTTCTCTTCCTCCTCACCCAATCCTTCATTACTATCTCTCTCTACCCTTTTTTTACACTGGTCCTTACACAATCCCTTTGGCGTTTCTTTTCATGATCCACTCCTGAACATCGTTTACAATCATCTTCATCATCATCATGATCCATTCCCAATTCCTTTCCCTGATCACACCCATCGCAGGTCCTGGCAAAGCAAGGCGGACACCGACCGTCCGAGATCACCCCTATCAAAGGCCAGCAACTTAGGATCAGTGCTACTTCCAAAACTATCACTACCACCACCACCACCACCACTACTACTAAGACTACTACTTCTACTACCAATACTACCAACAATATGCAAATATATACAATTGCAATCAAACAATTAAACACTAAGCACACTAGAGCAATTAAAACTTCAATAACACGCAATATGCCAACAATCATCGCTCATCTTTAACCTCAAGCTATTTACAATATCTCTCTCTCTCTCTCTCTCTCCTTCTTCATTTGCAATCATTTTGTGCCTTTCTTTGTGCCTTTTATTCATGATCATGAAATCTCAACCAAGCTCATGTCACAAAACAAAAAACAAATATTTAGCTCATGCATGATATCATATTAGGTATCTACTACAATTAACTACTTGTCTTCCTCTTTCTCTCTCTTCTCTTCTCTATTTCCCTCTCCTATTTACCCTCTTTTTCCTTGTTTATGATCAAATAAGACAAAACTTAATTGTCATTATCCAATATAGTTTCTATTGTTGCAGAAATGAATTTTGGCGGTTGTTATTAGAATATAAGTTGTCAAAATGTTCAAATAATTTAATCACTCAGTCCCTTTTGTCCCTCTTCTCTTCCATCTTTTCATCATATTGATTACCATGATGATCGTCATAATCACAGCAACCAATACAAAACAACAACTACAACATCAACACACAAAATTATACTGTTCAACTGAATAATGATGATCCCTGTGATGAACCTTTTTGTCTGTCATTCAAACAAAATGAACATTATATGCTTATTATATTATTATTATATATAATGCATGATAATTTGATTGATTTAAAGATGAACTTATACTTAACTCTTTGCCATTGTCTCATTATTTGTCCTGAAAAAAAATGAAAACAAAAAATATTGAAGAAAAGAAACAAATGTTTGTTAATTTCAACCATAACAATCGAAATGATTATTAATTGGTTCTTCCTTATATTCATGCACAGATCATCTCTCCTCATCCTTCCGTTTTATTTCCATCATGTCCATATTATTACCATTATCATCATATTTATTACTTATTGCAATATCCAGCTTTATTATATTACAGCCAAAAGGAAGTCTCAGACAAAACGTTATTACTGATTATATCCTCTGAATGATAACATTTAATCATTCAACAGAAACAATCTCATATGACAATCAACATCTCAATAGTTATCACTTATTTTGACCTTTTTTTGTCTATTAGTTAATCATCTCAACAAACATCATTTTCAATAACAATCACCTAAGGTCAATGGTTTGTTTCATTGTTTAATCATTCTAATTGTCATCCATTTACACTATTTCAATGTATATCATTACAACTGTAAACCATGCAAACAATGGATTGGAAATTGAATTTGTTTTTACAATGGAAAATAGTTTAGATTGTTACACTTTCTAGTAAATTTCAATTTCTTTTGTTGAATTTGATCTGTATGGATAATTTAAAGGTTGATCAATCTAAGGTGAGTTTAATTTTTTGAAGCTCTTCCTCTTGAGCTTCTTATGCCTTCCATTTGATTCATTCACAGTCGTTGGTTCAATGTAAAAGCAATTTGGCCTTTGAGTCTCCTTTTTTCAAAAATAAAACATGAAATTAAATATAATTGGAACAAATTGACTTTAATTCTTTCAATTTGCTTTTATCAGCGGAGAAAGTTGATGTATATTTTGCCTCTTTTTTTTCCTTTTTAACAGCATTTTATGATGTTAATGATTATTAACCAATCAATTTGAGACTTTTTCAAATGTTGATACATCATATTGTTTTGGAGAAGCATCTTTTTGCCATACAATTATTGATTTGTCCATATTGGCGCGACTGGCTGAAAAACGGGATGAAACTTGAATCTGAACATGGAACAGTTTATGTTGCTCAATCTCAATTATGATTATCGCCTTTGTTTGATTGCGGATTGCAAATCAATCCTTAATTACCACCAACTGGGTCAAAGTTAACTTAAATTGATAACCAAGTAAACTGATGTTCAACTTTTCACGGTTTCAAACACCTTCTCTTTTGTTTCTTCCTCCTCCACCATCAATACAACAATAAAGGGATAAAACCATTTTTTTGACAATATAACATCACTTTCGACTCGTAATTATTTCACCAATGATTCTTGATTAGATTAAATTGTTTTAAATTTCCAACTCATGCATATCGATGAGCACAATTTGGTCCTTAACACAATTGACTCATCTAAAGGAAGAAAAGAGAAGCACGAAAACAAGAGATATTAAAAATTATCTATTAATAGAGGTTTCGTGATTAACTGTAAAGTCAATTGATTCATTTTACCTTGATCGATAGAATCGAGAACAGATTACATTTTACTCTCATTTGCAGCTTTAAAGATATTGATGGGAAGATTTAGTCATCGCTTTTTAATTGATTACCAATGGCACAATTTGGTTGAGACTTAAACATTCACAGTATGGCATGAGTTTACTTTTGTAAACTTGATTGTTCTATTGGAGAACCAACCATATTGAGATAATTGTTGATTGGATTTGGTTTGGTAATTTTGCTCATCATTATTGAAGGCTCATCATACACTTGTCCTCACAATTACCACCAAAAATAATCGTACGATTGTTTTAACAAGTCAAGTTGCTTGAGGTGAACTTTTCATGAATCTGGCAACGCCAAATCAAGGAGAAAACCATGGATCAACATCCATCAAATCCATTTCTAAATTCAAATTCATCTTTGGAAACTTCATTACCTGGTTACAATTCTGGTTAGAAATTTCATTTCTTTCATAACACAAACGGTTAACGTCTCTGTTACGTTACCTAAAATGGATCTTAAAGTTATAATAACCGTCTAATAACATCGATAGATTGTCCAATCATCTGAAGATTGAGTTAATTGGTGAAGCAAATAATAAAGAGCACAAAATTAGTAAACAATTGCAATATAAAGTGAATTGTTTTTTGTTTATACATTTGGAATAGTGGCCTGGAAAGCCTATAGATGGCGATACCTTACCAAGAAAATTGCCAAACGAAATTGTAGACTAACTTTATTGCTAGTAGATGGAGCCTTCTGTTTCATGTCTTGTTTATGTTTAAAAATTATTTCCAAGGGAATTTAATTTAATCCAGTGTTAAACAATTGTGTCTGATTATTTTTATTTCATTCAAGGAAATTAAATATGATCTAAGTCCTTCAATGTAGATAATTAGCTGTTAATAGTCATATGAAATTGGACCAAAAAATCCTCAGCAAGTCTTCATCTTAAGGGTTAACCGATTTAATGATGCAACGGTTAATGTTTTGTCATCATGCATTAACTTCAACAAGCTACTGTTTGAATCGCTAATTTTTACTCTTGATCATCTATTTTAGCCCTGAATTGGTTACAAAGCAAGTTTGTTCATTTACTTTGATTACTTAATTCAAGATGATTGCAGAAGCTGAACATTATCCCCAACACAATGCATCTAATGGCCACTTTGCTAAATGTGCCCGTAATATTAACACCAATTTAAGAAATGATAAAATATTTCTTTTGGTTATTGTTGTTGCTGGTGAATTGCACCAAATTTCCAGTACAATAAGTTCACTTCTTTTCTTTTTACGGTCAAGTTAAAATATTAAAATGATTTACCAAAAGTGAACATGATTAACCCAATTTAAGGTGATCTCAAATCTCGGTGACCCATAAATAGCAGTTCATTTTTACACTCAAAAAAGCAACCAAGAAACATTGGCATGTTGACAGTAATGAGACAATGAGCTGTAATGATCATTATGTGTGCTATCCATGTTAATGTTGGTTATGGTTAAAAATGATGCCAGTTAACAGTAAACGAGTAAATTGGTGAAACATTAAACCCTCGATGGAGCGCAACAACATCAACAAGAGTGACCTGAAACAAAGCAAAAGTTGGGACCAAATGAAACAAGATACAAAACCATGGAATGATCAAGGAAAGATTAAAGAAGAATTGAAGAAGAAATGGAAAACAAAATTGTCCAGAAATAAGCTGAAATGAAAAAGGACAAACACCCAAAGCTGTATAAAACCAAAGCAATGTAAACCAACAACATCCAAAATAGATCAACATTTGTAAATTAAAAAAGATGTCAAAGATGGACAAAGATATCCAATTAAACAAACAATCGGACGTAATAATCTCAAGTATCCAGAAGTCAGGCCATGGATTATTTAAATAACAAAGTCAACAAACAAACAGTTATCAGCAAACGACCATTTGTTATGATTACAATCATCACCATTGGCATACAACACATTTTATTTATTTTATACCAACATCTAAATATATAACACACACCATGGTTCAATCCATCAGAAATAACCAGTTATCACAGAGACACGCAATGAACACACATATAAACACCAAAGCCATTGGTGGAGTGGGAAAAGGAAAGGCCCTGGATAAAGACAACAAACTATCATTTTCTCTGTGAAAAATGGTCAAATACAAATATTGAGATAGCAACTTAACTTTCCATTGAACCATATCAACAACAATCAACAAAAAGGACGCCACATTTAAATCAAAACAGTGACACTTTGATATTCACAGTCAGTCACACACAAAAAACAGAGCTACCTCATTAATCTTTCACTCTCTTGCCCGTTAAAAATCACACGTGTTTTTAACGCGTGTTAATCGTCCATTGTTTGACTTCAACTACGGGAGTTTTTATCATCATCATCATATCCAACAACAACTCACAACATAATAAGTTAAATATGAATTGAAAAAAAGTAATGATCTTATTGTGTTTAAATCTTATCATGTCCGTTGAATAATAATTTCACACCCAACAACAGCAACTCTAACAATCTCAAATTAACTTGCAACTTTGGCCTGCTTATTGTTTGGCCCTTTGGCCCTGTCCTAATGATATTATTACCATTCTCACAATTGTCACCATTAACTCAACTCACACACACACACACTGATCATTACCAAACAATAAAGTTAATCATTTTATTCAAATGATTTCTTTTTTGTTTCCTATTAACAAACAATTTCCTTTTCTAATAATTTAACCTTTTATTTTTTCTGTCCATTCCTTTCATTTCGCTATCTAAAATGTTATCATTTATTGGAAAAAAAAGAAGTGTCATTAACTCTCAATTGAATTTCATTGTATTAATGAATGTTCAACCTCCAACCTTACGTCTAATTGTTATTTAACTTCTAATATTTCCAATCATGTTCCATCCATTTTAATGTTACCCTTAATAATTTATCATGGAAAACAATCTGACGGGAAGAGAAAAGGAAAAAGATAAATCTTTATTAACCGGTCAATGGAAAGGTTCAATCAATTCAACAATAATGAATGATAAAAAGTGGTTCATCATGAATATCTAATGTGAAATATGTTAACTCGATAATCACAAAATCTGCAAACATCAACATTTGAATATTAAAACATGGATTTCCGAATGATTAACACTCTTCATGCAAACAATTAGCATCAACATTGTTTCCTTAACATTAACAATAAATGAAATACAAAAATGAATAAAAATTGAAAGTTATTCAATAATTGATTGGTAAAAGTCTGGTAAAGATCAACCAAGAAAACCAGTTGAACCAGTTGAATGGTTTGAACCAGAAAAGACACATTTCAGGGTAAACAGGTTCAACTATGATAATTGTAGATGAATTGATAGGAAGAAAACAGAATAAGATCTAATTATCTTCTGATTGAACATTATTATTATCATTATCAGTTGATCTTGACCAGTGAGAAGAAGAGGAAAAAAAAGGTAAGTCCAGTTGAATAATGAATCTTGATGATTGAATGCAATGATAAACTTTCACTTTTTTTTACTTTCCATGAAAACAAATGAAGAAGAGAGAAAAAGAAAAAGTTTTTTCATCTCTATCTTCATCTTTATCCTTCTAAACCTAGACAATGGTTTCAATCATTTCCATGATTATTCTGATTTTGATATACTCTTGATATCTATTTTGTAAAAAGAGAAACATAATAATATGAAAAGGCAAAATGTTTTTGTTCAACAGTTTTCTTTCCCTTCCAAGTAAAAGTGAATTGTTAATGATAATACATCAACAATACGATTAACAATAAACAATTTAAAGATTGAATGATTACAATTAACTTTCTATGATCGAAGTTGGAGCAAAAAAATTAAATTAATAGATCACCAACAATAAGCAACGATTTAACAATAAGAAGGGAAAAATATCTGTATTAAGGTAAAAGAATAGAAATGATGAAAATTGTAAACATTTTCCCATTTCGTATAATCATCATGATGGACAATACAAAGTTGAACATTTCACCTTTACCTTATTGACAGATAACTCTGATTGTTGTTCATTTTGTTGATTAGTTAATAAAAGAAAACATTATCATTGCTCTAATTGTCTTGAAATGGTACAAACCTGGTAATAATCTGTACGCGTTGATTACCTCTAAAACCTATTGTTATCAAATCTTTTCAATTTAACATTTTCTTTGTAAAGCAAAATATTAACACAAAAATCCAATCAGAAATTGGTAATCAACAATTGAATCAATTTAAAACGTTGCCTTGTACTAAAGATTGGGAAAATTGTAGTTTATGAAAATGGAAAGATTGAAAAGTCCGATTTTTACCTTTTCAGTTGCACTTTCATTTCACTTCTTTTTTTTCACCAAACATGCTAATTAAATGTCAATCTAAATTGTTGATGCTTCTTAATTGTCTTCTAGTTATAATGAGATGAGGTAAGATGAGGATGACATGTAAACAGAGTAGAAAAGAATCAGAGAAAATCTTTTTTTTTCATTCTTCTTCTTCTTCCAAAAGTCTAAATATTGACAGTAATTAGCATGGCAAGGGAATGATGAAAATGATGGTTAAATGATGGATATGGAGAGGCAATATTGGTGATAAAGTAAAGAATATTTCGATGAAATAATTTTCACTCATCATCACCCTCATTATCATGATAATAATCATAACTAATGTCATCTTAAATGATTCCTCAAACTTGGATTCAATCATTTTACTCAATCTTCATCCCACTCTTTCCTATCCACAAGTCTCTGATTTTATTCTTGTTTCACCCTCAACACCTATTGAACCTCTTCTTCTTCTTCTTCTTCCTGATCATCATCCTAATCATTCTTATTCTCATCACCCAAAGCCTCCTCCTTCATCAACATACTCAGGAAAAAAAACAGAGAAGAGAAGAGAAAAATATACATCAAAATATTTTCTTCTTTTACCTGTCGATGGTTTTCAAGTAAAAAAAGCTCTACTTGACGAAGTTTTGTTTGAAAACTTTTCAACCATCAATCATCTTCTTTTTTTAAACTCAGATTCATCTTCCTCTCTTCATTTTCAACTTGGCCCCTTCAAAATTTCCTCCAATCTTGCGTAGGTATTTTCACAACTAATAATGTAATAACTCACAAAGTTTTACAAAGTTCATCTTTTGCTGTTCAACAATTATTATTGAAGTGATAATATTATTGGAACAAAAAAATCTGTGAAAAACACTAGAAACTGTTTGCACATTTCAAGCTTAGCAAACATTGAAACTTGTTTCATTGTAAACGCACATTTTCCTCTTCTCCTGTTTTCCAGTTTATATTTGAATAATTTGTTCATTTATTGGTCAATTAAGATGAACTTTAAAGATCATTTTGTAAACATTATAATCTATTAACTTTAACGACTGAAGGTAAAAGCTTTCCTTCGCAAAGGTAAACAATGAAAAATGAGCAACAAAAAATAAAGCAATTGTCAAGTTATGGTCAATGTTGAAAACCATTTTCAAATGTTTCCTCTTTTGATCTTCAATCACAAATTATAATTAAAGATTCATAAACTGCAAATTTCATGAGTTGACTGTGGCTTCAAATTTGAAAATGAAATTATTTTTGAACCAAACCAATTTTAAGGTTGATCTCAAAATGGTATTTGCTTTAACTCAAAACCTGAT